TCAGTGCCTCCCAGCTCACCTGAATTATCACCTTGGGAGAGGGTGGGGTGGAGCTGTGGGCATGTGAAACAAGCCAGCTATTCGCAGCTGGGGAGAAGGCTGGCTGAGTACCCTGTTAACCCCACAGGTGCTGAATTAGGGGGACAAGTCAAAGCCATGCTGGATACCTTCTCAGTGAGGAAATCTCAGTGCTCTAGAGTATTATTAATTCTTTGTATTACCATAACACCTAGGAGCCAGTAAGTGAACACTTCAGTCTCCCTGGTCATTCTATTACAGATTTAAAAGTCACTATCATTGAACAAAAAAACTTCAGAAACAGACTTCAAAGAGAAACAGCAGAACTAAAATTCATTTGCAAATTTAACACCATTAATCTGGGCTTGAATAGGGACTGGGAGTGGCTGGCTCATTACAGAAGCAGCTTTTCCTCTCCTGGAATTGACACCTCCTCATCTATTATTGGGAGTGGACCACATCCACCCTGATTGAATTGGCCCTGTCAACACTGGTTCTCCACTTGCGAAGTAACTCCCTGCTCTCCATGTGTCAGTATATAATGCCCGCATCTGTAACTTTCACTCTATGCATCTGAAGAAGTGAGGTTTTTACCCATGAAAGCTTATGCCCAAATAAATCTGGTAGTCTTTAAGGTGCCACCAGACTCCTTGTTGTTTTTATAGATACAGACTAACACGGCTACCCCCTGATACTAGGAGCCTGAGTCACCGCCCAGGACCCCACCGTGCTAGGTACTGTACAAACAGAGAACAAAAAGACAGGTCCTGCCCCAACCAGATGACCATTTGTATCTTCCCGATAACATACGGTGTTTGTTCAGATTTAGACTTGATTCTTGCAGAAGGGGGCTATTGATAGTGACTCTCTGTCTGAAAAGTGCTTTGAGATCCTCAGCTGAAAGATGTTCTGTAATGTCAGTGCAAAGGGTATGTCTACACTACAGGATTAATCCGAATTTAGATAATTCGAATTTGGGAAACAGGTTGTATAAATTCGATTGTGCGCGGCCACACTAAGCACCTTAATTCGGTTTTAAACCACATTAATTCGGTGGTGTGCGGCCACACTACCCCATTAACTTAAACACAGTAATTCGGTGGTGTGCGTCCACACTAACCCTAATTCGAATTAACAAAATCGATTTAGGCTCTACTCCGTTCGTCGAGGTGGAGTACAGAAATCGATTTAAAGGGCCCTTTAATTCGAATTAACTGGCTCTGTAGTGTGGACGGGTGAAGGGTTAATTCGGATTAAGGCAGCTAAATCCGAATTAAAGTCCTAGTGTAGACCAGGCCAAAGTACCCCCCTGCACCACCCACTTGTAGGTTCCCCTCACCACCCTGGAGAGACAAGTCACCTGAACTATAGTACTGATCTTGAGGAGCGAGGGATCCACAGATGCAAAATTCAGAACCTGATCCACCCTGGGAACACTGCAGTCCCAAAGGCAGGGAGGAAGAATTATTACAAATGGGGAATGGAGGCACAGAGAGATCAAGGGCTCGTCTGTTCACGAACAATTCATTCACTTACAAAGCTCAGGGTTGCTCAGATCTGGAGGTGGGGGAATGTGTGATTTGTCCCAATACAGAGGTAGGGGCAGGCTGTCTGGGAACTCTTTTTGTTCTGTGTTTGTACAGCACCTGGGGTACTAATCCCTGTCTGGGGCTTCCAGAGGCTGCCCATAATAAATAATACTGATTCTGATCCCAATCCAGATTTGGACTCACTCACAAAATAAATACATGAGGCAGGAGGACGTTGGATTTGGGGGATTGGGATGAACTATTGCTGAGTGAGGGTTAAATGCCCAGACAGACAGGAGAAGAGGGGGATAAAACATCTGCTTCTGAGCCAGTTCAGGTGATCTTGTGGCGAAGGGACTGTGCTGGGACTCAGAAGAGCTGGGGTCAATTCCCAGCTCTGCCACAGACTCCCCGGGTGGCCTTGGGCCAGTCACTTAGGGCTTGTCTACATGAACAATTAATTCACAGCAGGATGGGGTGTGAATCCACCCTCCCCCAGCCTACCATGGACTAACTGCCCCAGTGGACCCTGCTGACGTGCACTAACTCTTCAGCAGTGCGCTTTGATCTTGTCCCCTTTCGAAGAGGATTAGCAGGAGGTAGATGCACAACCCATCTTGCCACAAATGAATCGTTCGTGTAGACGAGCCCTTGATCTCTCTGTGCCTCCATTCCCCATTTGTAATAATTCTTCCTCCCTGCCTTTGTCTGGGCCATGGACTATGCAGCTGTGCAGCGCCCGGCACAAGGGGGCCCTGACCTACATCTCTCCTGGCTCATAAAGTAATAATAATAAAATGTGCAGCAATAATCCTGTTCTGCTACCACCAGGATGGGCGCAGGATGAGAAGCTGAATAGAGGTGAATCCCTGGGCAATCAGAGCCTTCCCTTTCCCCATGCCCGTTACTCCACCAGCCCTACAGAGCCCGTGATGTCAATAACACAGTTTACAGCTGCTCGCTGAGCAACCGCTGTGGATTCTTGGGCCCTGACGCAAGGCCTGGAGTCGAGCAACAATGTGACATGTGATCTGACTGCTAAGTGCCAGGCAAGCAAACTGCCCCCGCCCCTCTGGGACAGTAAGCACGGCTCCTCCAGCCAGTGCATGAGCTCGAAAGCTCGGGGTGCTGGCCTGCCTGCTATAGAGCGCTCAGCAGGGTTAACGGCTTTCAATCAGCCTGACTGATGCTGAGGTGGGAGGGAGGACAGGGAAAGCCGGGGGCGTATGGACAGGCCAGCTCTCTGCACTCGTTAGGGGCTATGTCCAGTCCTGCTAAGGCAGGAGGTCCCCAGGGCCAAGTACAACCCCTCAACGCCCTGACGCCCCTCAACCTGAGAAACCGGGGTGCCCGTCCCAAAGTGAGGAAGGCACAATGGGGACCAGGGGAGCTGTGCCCACTCCCCCATCGCCCCAGCAACCCCACCCCCACCCCATGGACCAGACTGCGAGGAGAGTGGGCTCAAGGACTATGGCAGTGAGTGGGACGCCTCTCCTGTGGGGAGATGGGGTGGAGGGGGATTTGGCCGGGTGAAGGATGCTCCCCAAGGCAGACATGCCCTCTGCCACCCGCCTGTCAATTTCACTTGCTCCGCTGGCGGAGGGAGGATCAGGTGGCCACTCTGCTGAGGTTCCAGAACCCAGGCCAAAGCGCTGGGCAGGGTCGAAGGAGCTGGCACGTCCCCACGTTCAGGGGCAGACGGTCACAGGGCTCTCCCTGGGAATGCAAGGCGGAGGCAGAGCCGGTGAACGGCACGTCTCGGGGGGGGCAGCCAGTTCTGTGAGCCCTGGAGACGCAAGGCCGTAAATACCATAGTACAGTTATGAATCACTCAGGCTTCTGGCAATCTGCCTGGGTAGCCCTCCGAGTCACAAAGTGGCCAGTCCTTAGCAGGACCGATCCCTTTACAGACATTCCCTGGGGGCAGGACCCACTCGCTCTTCCATTCCCAGCAGACCCCAGGCCCCCGCCCTCTCTGCCATACACCCTAGACACCGCTCCACTGTGGTTTCAACCCCTTTCAGCTGTTGTAGCTGGCGTAAGTCAGAGCAGCCCGCTGGTTGCTCAAGCCCAGCCCAGAGCTGCAGGATCAGGGCAGCGCACAGGTAGGGTGACCAGATGTCCCGATTTTATAGGGACAGTTCTGATTTTTGGGTCTTTTTCTTATATAGGCTCCTATTACCCCCCACCCCCTGTCCCGATTTTTCACACTTGCTGTCTGGTCACTCTGTGCACAGGGGTGAACTTTAAAGCACTTTTGCACGCGCACACACCAGAACTGCACTGTGTGCTGGTAGCCACAGCCCAGGAGCTGGCGCAAAGTCTTACAGGGAACGCGAGAGGGCTGGATCCATTCATCACGAGACAGTACAGACAGGGAGTGGGGAACGAGAGGAGAAAGGAAGGGAGAAAACCGCAGACATTTTCCAAGTCCAGGAAGTTGGGATGTCTTAACATGCTTTTGGCCATCAGGGGGCGATGCCCTCTGACTGGCCCCAGCGATTTTGAGGAGTAAAACCGCCTGCCCTGACGGGAGTGCCTGGCAAGCTGGGACCTGTCCTTTGAGCCTCACCTCTGTGTGAAAGGCGAGGGGAGCCGACCGAGTTGCGCTGCAGAAATCCACGGGCTGTGCTTTGGCCACACCTGGCATTCCCCCAAACCTCCCAGGCCTCACACGCCCTGTAGGCTCAGGCTGCCCTGAAAGCTCCATTGTGTTCACCAAACCACAGACCCAAGCAAACCCAGTCACTGGGGAGCAGGAGAATCACTTGATAGCCCCAGGCCCTGGCATCCTTTTGCACATCACAGTGAGATCCTGAAGCAGGGAGAAGAGCTGCTGGGGGGGGAGAGATGACAGCATGTCAGGGAAACTGAGGCACAGAGAAGAGAAGCGATGTTCTAGTCACGGAGAGTGAGTCAGTGGCAGAGCAAGGAATAGACCCCAGGACTCCTGACCCGCAGCCTTCAGCGCAAAGCAATAGGCACAATTCCTGCCTGAGACCCTGCCCTGCAAGCCCTTATACATGGGCTTAACTTTAAGCATGTGAATCGCCCCATTGGCTGCAGTGGTTAGGTCCCAGGACTGGAATAACAGGGGGCTGTTGCCACATTGACTTCAGTGCGATTACTCACACGCTTAATGTGAAGCACGTGAGCAAATGTTTGCGGGATCAGGCCCCCACCTGTGAGCAAGCAAGGAGGAAAAGGCAAAAGGAGGTGACTAGCAGCTGCACGACAGACTGGACTTGGACTTTGCGGTCACTGGAGAGCAAGAGGTAGCATGTAACAAGACAGGCTTTTGTCTCTCCATTGCCAGCAAAGCATCTTGGGTTCGATTAACGATTTGCATTCTCGTCCCCTACCTCACACCCCTCGGATTCCCCCGTCCGATATAACCCAACAAGCACCCAAGGGTTTGGGGTGGTTTTTTTAATAAAATCTAGACTCACTTACTCTGCCTGTAGCTTTGTGTCAAGTGGATCTGTCAAAAACAAAAGCAGAAGGAAACCAAGTCGGTATCTTAGAGTACGTTAACCCAAGCACAACAAGAATCAGAGCTGACAAGACCACAGGAATTGTCCTGCTGGATCACAGCACGGGTCCATCCTGCTCAGTTGCCTGTCTCTGAGAGTGGCTATCATCAGCTACTTCAGAGGAAGATGCAGGAAACCCAGTAGTGGACAATTAAGGGACAACCTGGTCTTAGAAGAAGTTCCTTCCTGACCTCCATTAAGTAGGGGTTTGCTTATGCCCTGAAGCATGAGGGTTTATATCAGCATGTCTGGTTTACAAGCAGAACATACCCTCCATGCTGGACCAATATTAGCAGCACCAAGAAGCTCCTACTCATGCTGACTTCGTTTTCAAGCCTTCTTTGACATGCTCAATCTAGTGCCAAGCGAGTTTGAAGCATGTTTTAAAGTTTGGGTGAATGAGCGTTCTGTTCCACTGAAATTGACAGTCCCGGAGCCAGCTCTCAGGAAGGGCTTGGTCTTTGGCCAGCATGTATGCCCTACAGTAAGATGTCTCAGGAATGAGACTGGGGGGGAAAAAAATGTTTCCCCTCATACTCTAAACAGAATTTGAGGGCAATGGTAGAGTTCCATGACTTGAAAAGCAGGAGGTGGGCGGGCGAGGCTTCGGGTCAAGATTGAGGGACACTGGCAAGGGCATGGGAGAGACCAGGACTGGAATAGTGGGGGAGGGGAGTGGCTGGTTTCGATCGAGGGGTAGGAGCCTGGAAGTACAAAACAGGGCGGCCCTGATTCTCTATTGTCCTGCACTTTGTTAGTCGTTTACACCACTGCAAAGGGATCGCGGACCGGGTGTCGATCCCTGCCAGGTCAGGAGGGTAGCTTGTGAAATTCACGTTGCACTGGGGTGCGTGACTGCCAGCGGGGCAGGGCAACGGAGACCCAGGACCTGGTTCTTACCCATTCCTTCTGCAGCTCTGTAATGGGGCCAGTAGGCTGAGCATGTCCCATTGCAACCCCCAGTCTTGCAAAGACCCCTTAGAGATGCATCCTGCGTTAACACGAGCTGAAAGCCCTACTTACCAGCGCTGGTGCGCGATCCAGAGTCGGTCAGCTGTGCCTGCCCTGCAGGGGGCGCTCCATCCTTCTCCTGCTGGGCTGACGAATGGGCCTCAGCAGCGATTCCTGATCTACGCCTCCTGGGCGGGGCCTGCAGGGCCACTCCGACGCTGGGTTCAGTGCTAGCGCTGCTGACCCCTACTGTGGAATCCTCTTCCTCCTCTTCACTGTCGTCGAAATCAAACGCTTCCCCTAGCTCCTCCTCCCCCTCGGTCGAGGTCTCCAGGGCCCCCTGCACTAGCCCGTCTCCTGCCAGAAGATGTAACAATTAGGTGGATCAGTGGACTTTGGATGGGGGGGGAAGGAAAACATGATAACTCTAAGCAGCCAGATCACAGATGAAAGGTAGGACCCTTTTCCCCTCGGAACGCCAATGCAGTGTGGTCTATGTAGTCAATTTGCTACTGCTTTCATACCCATGCTAACAGTGTGGCTCTGTCCCCCTCCACTGGCCGTACCAGGTATTACAGGTTTATAAATCTGCTACTGTCTCCATGCTAATAATATCACGGAGCCCTATCCATCAGTAGATCGCAAAATGCTTTACAAAGGAGGTCAGTATCTTTATCCCCATTTTATAGATAGGGAAACCGAGGCACAAAGAGGGGAAGTGACTTGTCCAAGGTCTCCCAGCAGCAGAGCTGGGAATAAAACCCAGATCTTCCAAGTCCCACTCTAGTGCCCTGTCCACTACGCTATGCTATCTCCGCTGGACCTCACCCTCTAGCTCAAACAAGAGAGGCTCATGCATTCAGACATTCAACCCCTGCAGATGTCCCAGCCAGGAGCATCATCTCTCCTACTCATCAAGGTCTCAAGCAAC